CCAAAAAAAAAAAAAAAAAAAAAGGAGGAGAGTGCTGGGAACTTCTGTCTTTTTTAGTACTGGGGATTGAAATCAAGGCCTCCACCCTGACTTCTACACCTAGTCCTTTGTAATTTTTTTGAGAAGTATCTAAGTTGCCCAGGTTGGACTTGAACTTGCAGTGCTCCTTCCCAAGCCTCCCTGAGTGTTGTTATCACAGGCAAGTGCCACCATGCCCAGCTCTAGTCCTTATATTGCTGACTGCCCCTGTGGTCTAAATATATCAATTTTATTTTAGCACATAGTTATTTCTATCCAGTCTGAGAAATTGAGAAGTGAATGTTAATTTTATCTTCTTAACACTTAGCAATTTCAGTTTCTAGATCCTTACTTTCATCTCTTTTGTTTTTAACATAGAAAGACTAAGGGATGAACTGTCTTGTTATTTTGTGGCACTGTTGTACCCCTCAACTGGCCTGAGGAAATATCTGTTACTGTGCTAAAATGTAATCAAGGGACTAGCAACTCAAAATAACTGTTTAAGGACACAACATTTAAAATGTAAAATTCTTGGCAGACCAAAAGGCAGGAGAGGTGAAGCGAGCTGGAGCCACCCAAGTTAATTCGTGGGAGTCTCTTCTACTCACACAATCTCAGTTCCTGCTATGCACTCTAACAAACAGTGGAAGAGACAACTGCAGAGGTCTTCCTTATAACTATGCTTTTTGAGGTTGCTGCTCCCCTCAGTCTGCTCAGGAAAAAGTAGCTCATCTTGGTAAGTTGTTTGGACTTCACCAGGACCCAAAGAAGAAGCAGAAAAACCTGTGAAAACTAAAACTACTTCTGCCAGTATTGGAGTGGAAAGTTCCAGTGACAGCACTGAGAAGCAATTGGCTGAAGAAGAAGCTGCAGACCTCCCAATAATGCCTATGGAGGTCTCCAAGTTTGGATTGGCCATAGACAGTCAGACAACAAAGAAAGCACTGGCTATATCCAAAATTGGATCAAATAAATCTAAAGAAACTGTTCCAACTCTTGCTCCAAAAACCCTTGCAGTAGCAGCACCTTTTAATGAAGGTGAAGACAGGGAACCAGAGGAAATGCCTCAAGTAGCAAAGATGAGGATGGAGAATATTGGAAGGGATATGCCAACATCCGCTGGACCAAACTCTTTCAGTAGAGGAAAGCATGGGTTTTCTGATAACCAGAAGCTATCGGAACGAAATGTAAAATCTCATCTTGGAAATGTCCAAGATCAAAACAATTAAATGATGTATTTTGATTTAAGGTGTGGGGTTGGTATAAAGTTAAAAGAACAGTTTCATTTTTACAGGATGGTATAAGACTATTTTTGGAGCCACTTTTTCTTTTTCACTTTTCTTTTTAAGATTGAGTGGTACACTAATAAGTGAGAATTTGAAATTAGAGTTAATCAATGTTTTATATATATAGATTTCAAGACATTTGCTAATTTTGTAGTTTCATGTGATTAATTTCCAAAGTTTACAGATAATAAAAGGAATCAGAAATGGTACCTTTTTAAGAATTACCTTTTTTTTAAGACACAATCATTAGCACATTAAGAAGGAGGCAAAAAGTTACTGTCTGTGTACAACTGCGATTACTCCTAAATTAACTCCTTCACTTCTGAAACTGTCAGGCTCCCATGATCAGCCTTGGAGAAAAGGGGAGGGTGTCATTGTATCAGAGAGAAAGCACTGCATGGCTATTGACTAGAAGTAAACCTAGATGAAATGAAACAGCATTTTTTCCCTCTGTGATTTGTTTTGTTCAAGTGGCCGTATATTAGGTACTGCATTGCTGACAATGGACACAGATGCTTAGCTCTTCTACAGAAAGTAATTTCTAAAACAATTTTACATGAAGTATCAAGTATTTGAAATAGTCCATTTCACCTTCATAGTCTTGTCTACCTTCATCAGTCTTCAAAGAATAGCCATTTGCTACCAAAGTAAATTAGTATTTTGAATGTGCTTCTCTTGGTTTTTTTTTATTAGCTAGTTCCTGTAAGCATTTCCACCAGAACTTGAGTCAAATCATAAGGAAGTTGTTTATTTTAAAATACAGACTACCACCAAAAATTTAAATGTACAGTTTATTTTAAAATACAGACTACCACCAAAAATTTAAATGTACATACTGCTTGAGTATTTGCTGGTTTATTTATTTATTTATTTATTTATTTATTTATAATGTGTTTAGTACAGGGTCTACACGGTCTCACTATACAGATAAGACTCATAGTAATACTCCTGTTTTCATCCTCCCAAGTGCTGGGATTACAGGTGTGTGTCGCCACACCCAGTCTCAGTCACCATCTCAGAACAACCTGGGGTTGGAACTGGCACAGCATGTTGGGGATTGAACCCTGGTACCTGTGTCTGCCTAAGCAGATGTTTTAATCCCCTGAGCTATCTGACCAGCCCCTGGTTTTTATATTTTAAAAGGTATAAATACCAAAAACAAAACAAAACCAAACTTAACATTGTACAAAGATGGAAAACAGTAAGATGCATTTCTGTAACTTTGTCTTTGTTATGTTTCAAAGTTGTTAAATCCAATTTGAACTGAATTCATTACAGAATTTATTAGAACAGTTAATACGGTTTAAGTGTACATATATTGACCAGTGAAGCATATTGTAGGTACTGAAAATGAAAGAAAATGCATCTTCAAATACATTTTATTGAATTGCTCATCACACATACTCTTAAATCTGTGTATTGTAAGCTGTTGTTTTATATTTTTGTATTGTATATGGACTTTTTTTTTCAAAGTTTTATTGATAAACAGCAATGAGACAGTTTCAAATCAAATCGAAAGTACAGTTTCAACAAATAATACACTGCATATATTCTTCTTAGTGGTTAATTGTTGTACAAGATGCGGACTTGTGATCCTATTTACAAACACCATTAGAACAAATCATTCTATTCAATAAGAGAATGCAACTATATATCTATCCCAACCTCTTTGAATACACAGATACAAAATGGACATTCATTGGTATACCCCATTTTTTCTAAGTTCCGTTATTGAATATTATAGGTGTGTAAACTCAGCAAAATATTCTAAAAGAGTCCAGTAGCCCATAATAGCATTGGGTCTTCTGTTTAACTGGCAATGTCAGAAATTATTGACCTGAGTCCCCCACAGCTCAACTTAACAGCATGGCTTTATTTCTTATATTTCGACTTCATACTTTTCTACTGGATGGACTTTCTAATGTGACAATTAAACACATCTTTAAAAGCATAGTCACAACTCATCCACATGGCTGACACTGACAAAGGATTTACAATCTGAGGTACAGGACCTCAGGATAAATCCTGAGGGGATTTCACTGATCTTATCAGACCCAAAAGCTGCAATTCTTGTTGCATAGGTCGTGCTTTACCTTGGTCTTAACCAGCCAGCAAAAAAGTATAAAAACAAAGTATAAAAAGTAAAGTCATGCTGTTATGTTGAGCTGTAGGGGACTAAGGTCAACAATTTCTGACATTGCCAGTCAGGAGGAAGACCCAATAGTATTATGGACTACTGGACTCTTTTAGAATATTTTGCTGAGTTAACACACCTATAATATTCAAATGATGGAACTAAACAAAAAAAAGGGGATACAGATGAATGTCCACTTTTTATCTGTATATTCAAAATGGTTATCATAGATATATAGTTACATTCTCTTAATGAATAGAAGGATTTGTTGTAATAGTGTTTGTAAATAGGATATCATGTCCGCATCTTGTACAGCAAATAACCACTAGGAAGAATGTATGCAATGTGTTAATTATTGAAACTGTCCTACCAATTTGGTTTGAAACTGTCTCATTGCTATTTGTTTCTCAATAAAATTATGGAAAAAAACCCAAATTAGTTAGGTTAGATATACAGCTACTTTCTCTTAGTTCAATAAGAAGAAAGATTTGTACTAATAGTGTTTAGACAAGATATCATGGCTACATCTTGTACTATGAATAACTACTATGAAGACAACAATATGCAGTATATTAATTATTGTAACTGTCCTGCTAACCTGTTTTGAAACTGTCTTATAGCTATTTCTTTCTCAATAAAATTAATTTAAAAAAATAATAAAAAAGCATAGTCACAGGCAAAAGAACAATGATACAATTATTTCCTTCAGAACTCCTACAATGTTAAATTTGGAGGCAGTTTCAGGCTATTTTATTGGTTGTAGTTACTTGCTGATCTTTTTTGTTTGTTTGTTTGTTTGTTTGTTTTTATGTACAGGGTCTCACTACATAGATCAGACTTGTAGTAATCCTCCTGTTTTCAGCCTCCCAAAATGCTGGGATTACAGGTGAGGGCCCACATACCGAGTCTCAATTCCCATCTCAGTGTGTCCTGGGGTAGAGGCCAGCATGGCTTGTGGTGTCAGGGATCGAATCCCAGTCCCTGCGCTCTGCCTAAGCAGGTGCTTTAGTCCTCAGAGCTATCTGGCCGGCACAGCTGATCTTTTTTAATAGGTAGTAACACCAGAGAAGAAACCTATGTTTATGCCTAGTAAGTTGTTCTTTTACACTAAAATTTAGATTAAGCCCCAAGTAAAACAGTGGAAATGTATGTAGAAATACTAGTTCTTACATGATTTAATTATATCAAAACACATGAGTTTAACTTACTTTTATGTAGGCAAACTTACTCATTTTTATCCATTTTATTGCTTGCTAAAATAACATCTTTCTTTTACATACTCTTTTCTTGACCCACATGAAATACTAAAGTAAGATCAAGATGAGGAGCGAGAAATGACTGAGATGAATGTCTACTAAAATAACCAATAAATTTTGTCAAACTCAGAAAAAAAACCCATAAAATTCTATTAGTCCACTTTATTTCCTTATTTTAAATGACAACAGAAGGGGGCCGGGGAGATGGCTCAGTGGAATAAGTGCTTTCCTGAAAGCGCAAGAACTGAGTTCAATCCCCGGTTCCGCAAAAAAAAAAAAAAAAAAAGAATTTAAATGACAACAGAGAGACTTTGATTCAAAAGTGAAAAGTACTAAAATGAAAACACCACTCTCTGTTTGATCTTTTTTTTTTTTTTTTTTTTTTTTTTTTTTTTGGAACGGGGTATTGAACTCAGGCCCTTGCACTTGCCAGGCAAGCGCTTATTCTACTGAACCATCTCCCCTGCCCTGTTTGGTCTTCTACATATCCTTCAGTGTCTTGGGCCACTATATTTTAGTTTTCAACCCCTTTCTCATTTTTTTCCCTTTCTCACTGAAGTACAAAAGAGGGAATAAACATGGTCACTGTTACTCCTGGAAAAACAAAAGGGAACCAAATCTACTGTGGGATGATGCTCCACTCTACTTTGACGGTGGAAATCTGTTGTGTACTGATTGAGCAATTGTGCAACTTTTATTTCTATTTTGAAATGATAATATTTCTTATGGTATTATATGAAAAATTAGCCCATGGCAGGGGAATAACAAAGGGGAAAGGGAATGAAATGTGCCGTCCCACCCACCTGCACTGTGGCCAGCTGGCAGGAAATACTAAACATGTCAGCATATCACTCTGCTCTGACTCAGGAGGAAAGTAATAGCCTCTGTTCACATCTAGTCCCCGAGCACTAGAATAAATGATGAGAAGAGTGCCATTTTGAGTGTGTGTGTGTGTGTGTGTGTGTGCGTGTGTGCCCCCAATGCACACTTACAGAATCCACTATGCACAGAAAATCTCTAACGTATGATCATCCATTCTACTGCCTTACAGTGAGTTTTGGAAAACAAGGCTTTGCATTACCCCATGCCTGCCTTAGCCAAAGCCCAAGGGTAAAAAGAATCTAACTCTGACTCTGCCAAAGGATTCCTCTGACTGGTGGCAGAGGGATTTGCATGGCAATGGAGTGAATTAGAAGCAATGCACTGCTTTTTCTCTCTGCTTTGGAGGGGAAAGGTTGTTTTAATTTATCTTTTCTGTTACTGTTAAATCCTATTAACAATATATAGAATATTTGTGGCGGATCACCAACTGGTGGTCAGCTTGTTACACGCAGCTGAAGTGAACTAGCTTGGTGCTGGATGTGGGAGGTCCACTGGAGGATTCATTGCCAGCAGCACATGAGGCAGAACTAGAGAAGTTTCTGGGTGGCTGTGAGGGAAGCTCTTTTGAAAAACTGTTGGGGAGCTGTTGGAAGCTGCTGGTTCTCTTGGGCTAATCCTCTGGGTGACATTGAGTTGCTGGGTTTTCTGGTGAGCTTGGTTGTTTTCTTTGG